CACCCCTGGTTTACACAAAGAAAGCCTGAATATGTCAAACTTGCTTCGTAGTGCAGCCCTCAGGAAAGCTGTTTACACACCCATCAACCTCAGGTCAGAATACTTCTCAGCTCTTTATCGCTTTAATGTCGGTGTTGAAAATGAGTAGATGCAGAGCTTAATTAAAAAACAAAAAAACAATGATGACTCACATCAGTTTCTATACATCAAGTTATTTATTGAATTTATCACTTCACGTTTATTCCAAATGTTTCAAGTGACCGTTCACAGGCTTATGAAGACTAGTGTATATATATATATATATATATATATTTTGCTACCTAATAATTAGTATTTCTTGTAGTGTTATCATCATCATAATCTGAAGTGTCTCTGTTGACCAGCAGAAGCTGCTAAACCAGTGCCTATGCCCCGATCAGTGCCCACTGTTGACCCCACACTGCTCAACGCCCAGCAGCAGGGTAAGAACACACACATCGTTAACTGTATGAAATGTGCATCACAAACAGATAATGAACACGGGGCACTACAGACGCTTCTCCTGTACTGGGAGTCTCTTTCCTGTCTCTCCTTCCAGCTGTTCTCTTTTCTTTTTAATCCCCTCAAAACCGGTCAGACATCCAGCTCAGGCAGTAACACACTACACCAGTCCTCTGATCTCTGCAGTGGATTCCAGTGTAGTGTTGAATTGATTTAAAAAAAAAAAAAAAGAATACTGCTGCTGCTTGTCTCTGCGCTCCTGTGGGACCTGTCTGTTCCTATAGTGAAAACCAAAATATATGAAGCTATGCAGAGCTGGAACGAACTCATGAGACTGAATCCGAACTTTGACTGCCTTTAAATCCACTTTATACGCCTTTATTTTCCCCTGCTGAACGTCATTTAGCCTTATATAACTATCATATTTTATCAACGCATAGGTGAAATACGCTTTCTGCACGTTGTCTTTCTGTCTGTCTCTCCATCTGCGTTTCACAATGAGCATTCTTTATGTGCTGCGTATATGAGTGAAGGAAATGTCCTTCACTGGATTAAGTCTGTGTGCTGCCTCCGCTGTCACTGGGCGGTCGGCTAACTCATTCCAAACATCAAGACTCTGAAGACACGACTCTCTGTTCCACAGGTTTACTGATGCAAGGAGCGGTGAAACTGTAACATACAGCACAAAGCATAATCAGATGTGTGTGGATCAATCTGGCTAATGTCACCACAAATATGTATAATAACGGCTGGATGTCTCGTCCGCGCTGTCGGCCAATGGAATCACATGGCCACACTGGCGGCCATCTTGGTATGGTCTGTTCGCTCACACATAACATTGTGTTGTCGTGGTGCGTGTACTTCTTAAATAACTGGCTGCCACACTCATGGCCAGCAACAATTTGCATTTTAGTTATTTTGTATTTTATTTGTGTTTTTGTAATTTGAATTGTAGCCATGTTTGTAAGAAACCAAACCGTTTGTAAATCCGTCAAGAGCTCAGTGAGATAGGAGTATGTACGTTTGTGCAGATCACTCACCTTCCTTCACGTACCACAGGTTCCGCCAGAGAGCTTCCCCGTATCAAGATGGCTGCCGGTGATGACGTTAGAGACTCCGCCTTAAGACATCCAGCCTTTATTATACATATCTATGAATGTCATCATGCTAGGCAACATTCTCTTCGCTTCTCCGACTGACTGCCAGTTTACCAGTGACGTCATTTCCAGTTAGAAGCGTCGTTAATTTCAAAATAAACCTAATGAGTTAGAAACTACAATATTCAAAAATACCAACATTTTACCTTAAAATAAACATTAAATATCAATCAGATCAGTCTTTGTCTTGTGTGCAAACGCAAATAATGTTGGTGAAAAAAATCATCCACAAATGTCCAGCATGAGGTGTTTATCACCATTTACATTTATTCTGGTGTCCAGCCTGTGTTTCATTCGGCTTTATCATACAGTAAGGAGTCACACTCAAGATTTTCACAGTTTTACATCAAGAAAAGTTTCATGAATCTACCAAAACATACTTTTTATATCAAGACAAAGCGTGTTAGCACAGGTTGGGTAAACGTTAAAGGTAAAAACTTCAGAGATTTTAAAGAGCTTTTTGCATTTTCACTTTTGAATGTTTTGTGCAAACTGAAAATGCACCTGAAACTGGTGGGAGGGGAAAACACACACCTAGATTGTTAAAATAGAAAGATGTGAGAAATTAATTCCACATGCGGTGTGCTGCAATAACACAATTTGCAAAATGGCACATGGAGAAAGAACGGCATGAAAGAGCAGGTGTGACGGAGCCAAGTAGCCTGGAGATAGAAAATAAATTCAGACTGTGACATTTGTAATGAATCGAGGTGTTTTATTACCAGAAAGACACAACGAGGTACATGAACGGACACTTCAATCGTAGTGCCGTGAATTTTATTCATAGCGTTTCAGTGTGATGCTAATTAACAAGCCACTTTGCTATATTTGTATTCCCCATAGAAGAGATAAAGGCGTCCGATCTTCCGTTGTGAGCCTGGAAAAAAAGGTTGAAAAAGATGGAAGGAAGGATGATTGCATGGTTTCCATTCCCAGCCTCTCCTCTCCTCTCCTCTCCTGTCTTAAAGATGTAAAATAAGCGGTGAAAAAGTGACACTGCAGGAGACGGTGGTGACGCTGATGGCCGCTGTGTGATTGGACCCTGCACCACCGTCTGTCTGCCGGCTAACGTATCATTACGACCGCACCACGGTCTAGACTATCATTAGCCGCTGGCGGTTAGCCGCAGAGAGGGTGAGAACCAGAGGGAGCGAGCTTATAGTCAGAACATGGAGCATCGTTTTCCCGTAATTCACACTTTGCTAAGTATTTCCTTTCTTCAACAACCACGTCACTCCATGAACAAGAGACACCAGGTTACTGAGAGATGTCAGGAAAATGACATTTCTTCAATATATATGTTTAGCTTCTCTTTTGCATGCAATCATTTTGGAAGAGGTTCTGCATAAGTAAGAATAATGATGTTTCAGTTCATGGCATTGCTGCTGCTGCAGTGGTGATTTTTCTATCTATAGATTAGACGCCGGTATGTGATTGGACAGTTGATGGTTTCATCCTCAATACGGCAAGATACTTAAACACTAGGTGGGAAATGAGAAAACACATTTTCCTTTTTCTAAATTCCCTTCCTCATCACCAAAGCGCTTCCATATCGCTGCCCAGTGTCCAGCTGCAGTGTGTGAAAGTGTGCAGCCACACGCTCCCATTCAGCTGTCATTATGAAAACAAAGGTATAAACAAGATCCCCAGTTTTGCTAAACGTGTCTCGGCTTAGAGGGAAAAGTTGGAGTAACAGAGAAGAAGACATGTGACAATAGTTAAGAGAAGCGAATGCAACACACTTGAGCATAAACAGATAGTCTGTCTAGAAAGATCTTCTTGTTTGTGGCGTCTTAACAGATCGATTTTTGGCATCTTTAGACATTAGAAGTCTTTGTAGCTCATTTTTAGCATCTTAATGCAGTCAGAAACGGGTGCAGCTACTTTTGTTTAAGGGATAAGACAACTGCTTTTTCTGTTTGTCTGAGCAGCATCGTTGTACCGAATTACACTCATCTATGTTCAGAATGAATGCAGTCAGAGTAGAGACTGATTATATGAATGACTTTAGTAGACTGGCAGGTAATGACAGTGTTAATCACCTAATATAATAATATTATGTTCTATATCTACACAAGAGTTTATGAGCTACAGATTGATCATCTCTCGGTGGAGAACCTGACACGAACCATCTGCAACAAGACAACAGAGGCACTTCAAATTCACTAAAAACCTCAGGAGATTTGGTGAGATCTCATACTTTATGTCAACAATGTTAGCATTTCAGTTTAAAGACAGTGGATCTAGCAGTCAGTCAGTGCTTTAACATGCTTTTAATACAGATTTCGTAGGATAATGACGCATTCATTTAGCACGAAACTACATAAAGCCACCTGCCTCGATTGTACTTTTTAAAGCTGATGCAGGAAAGTAGGTTTATCAGGTACAATAAGTGACATTAATGGACTAAACCTTAAAAAACAAGGTCAACACTGACTTGTCAGCGAATCATAACGTTCCTGGTTTGATCCCCGTCTCCTCATAAACAGGTTCTTAGGAAAGCAACTGAAAGCCAAATGGTTCAAGGTGAACACTGACCATTTGCTCTAAAGCGTGTTGCTCTATATGAGGGTAAAGGCTTGTTGCTTTGTCAGCCCGTCATAGATAAATGATAAACGACATTCCACCTCTTGAGTCGAATATTCTAAAAGGATTTGAGAAACACGAGGAAATAGCTTTTTTTTTCTCCTTGCATTTATTCTCCTGAAGAGATTAGTGTGCCTCCTCAGCAGAACCTCCAACTGGATAAATAGTTGAAATGAATTATTCAAATTCTTTTAAAGATTTGATTCCAACTTATCTGCAGAGTCACAGAAAGCAGCTTCTGTCCTCAACTCATCACTTTTCTTCTTCACGGGGTGAATTCAGCCACGTCCGATAAACCGCGCGACTCCGGCTAGTCCGGTTTTGTCCGATCGCTTTTACAATTAAAATGAAAAAGAAAGCCTGTGTAAGGACGACACTAATCCTCAGTACGAGCTGATAAACGGAATGAAGAGAAATGTTGCTCCAGTAAAACGTATCGGTCTGAAAAGAGGAGGCCAACTACCCGGTAAGCATGTGTTTCCTGTTTGGCAGTGTCTCCTCTCTGCAGCTTTATTCAGAAGAGAAGATGCAAAACTTCTTTAATTCATTCAGTCGGCAGCCTCCTCGCAGCAGGTGTCTGCTTTTGTTCTCGCCTCCTGTCGTCCAGATTTGACGTAGCACAGAGCAACATGAGAGAAAATACTTCCATCTGCTATTAATGTTTAAGTCCTAAACAAAGGGGGGTGGTCACTGAGATATTTGGGCTCCGAGCACAACAATGGAAGAACCCGATTGAAACTGCTGTGATTGTTTTACGTTGTCTAGAAACGCATTCGAGGGCCTAAACATGCCCCAAAACTCACCAAACTCACCACACACATCAGGACTGGCGAAGTTTATGGACATGTCTCTGCCAAAATAACTCCACAGCGCCACCTTGAAAATTTAAATTTTAACGGAGTTCCTGTATGCGCTCCGATCTGCCTGAAACTTTAGACACATGCTGAGTCCAAACCAGCGCATTGCCGGCATGGCACGCCACGCAGGCCACCTCGGCTCGCCATTAAACAGGAAGTGGCTTGTAACTAGCCCGCACGTACTCCGATCTGCCCGAAACTCGACATCCTGGATCAGAGTCCCGCCCGGAGCACGTTTCTGTAAAAACCCCGACGTGCACGAAGGCCGACAGTCATACGGTGAGGACTCGACCATCGCCGCTTGCGACTTTAATTTTGATTATTCCTTCCTTGACATGAATTTTTACGGCTATGAAGAAATAGAGCGACCATATTTTTAAGGCTTCATTGTATTATGGCTGGATTATTTTTCCAAAATGTAGTGTTTTTTTTTGTTATGACTGAAAAGATAAGCTTCTACTGTGTTAATATGTACATTTAGGTCTTTCACTGTGATTGAAAATGTACAGCGAGAAAGGGATCTAAACACTTTTATAATTCTGTTGTGTGATTGAGTATGTGTCAGGAAAGACAAGATGCCATAAACAGGAGCAAGAACAAAGACTAAACCATTAATTGTGCACATTTACTAGACGTCCTGTAATGGAAAATGCCAGAACGAAACAAAGCATTACCCACAAAGGAGCTCCATTAAGTCTCCATAAGTAATGCAGCATAGAAATGTTTATAATAAACATAAAGACACAGAGTCCAGAAAAATAAAAAGAATAAATGCGTAGTTTGTTCCAGGCATTAAACAGCAGACCTACTGTTGTTTAACATAGAAACACCAAATCCAAAGTTGAGAAC